GGGAGGGGGGGCAATGGAAACGGTCTGGACTTTGCGTGTGACAGTTCTGTACCAAGGGAAGGAATATCGGGTCTGGATGGTGATTGGCGCCAAGGTCTTGACGAGCCATCCAAATATACGAAGAAGAGGAGGAGGGGGAACACAGATGTAAGCAGCAGCAGTGCATTAAATAGCGCTAGTGATCTATCACTATCGGAGGCTCTGTCTCAGATTTCTAAAGATCTAAGTCTATCTTCACCTTCATTATGTTCTGGAGAAGAAGAAAAAGACAAGGAGAATGAGGAGGCTCATTCGCCAGAAAGCCATGATGGAAACCTTCAAGCTGAGGTAATACATCTGCATGCTATAAATATTAAGAATGAAAATAAATGTAGAGTTGATTTAGAGATTATGAAAATATTATTTTTAAAATATTTATTTATGATACAGAGATAATATTTTTAAAATACAACTAAATTTTTAATTTTTTTTTAAAATATACATTGTTTTATTGTGTTTTTTTCTGTAAAATAATATGATTGTTCACCAATAACATAATGAAATGCTATCTTCTAAACCTCCAAGTATAAATATTGTGTTTTTTTTCTATGTAATAACATACTTTTATATACTTTAAATATAATGATGAAACAATATAATTATTGAAGAAATAATATGACTGTTTATCAAATATTATGATTTTCATAAAACAATATAACTATTCATGAAATAGTTATACTTTAAATTAAATTGAATAGTTATTATTTCATTTTATTTTAATAGTCATAAATATCAAAATTAATTACAAAAATTAATTCAAGGATCAATTAATCTCATTGACATATTCAATTTCAAGTTTTAAATGTTATCTTTTGATATTATAAATATATCCATATAATAATATTAGAAAGCCAAATAAAAGAGTTTATCTATAGTAGTTTAATTTATTACACAATAAAAATCCACCAAATAAAAAAATTTATCTATCGTAGTTTAATTTATTACACAATAAAAATCCACACTTTTGAGATTAAGAGAGAGTGTTTCTTTCTAATATGGAATAAATATATTTTTTCTTATTCATCTACAAACTACACTAACACTACATCTATATCCTTAATTGTTTTTTATTTTTTTATTTTTTTGGTTCAATATAGATAATTTTCTTTTCTGTTAATATTTCTGTGGCAATTATAAGGGACCTTTTCTCTATCTTGAACATTTGTTTAATATCATCTTTTGGAGAAAAAAATTTCCCTTCTAATTTAAGTAGATGACTATAATTAACACTCTTTCATCAATATGATTGTAAATCAGCTAGCTTTACATCATTTAGAGTGTTATGGGGTTGATGCGTTGTCATCAGACAACAAAACAATGAAGATGAGGATGAGATACAAGCTACATTAGTTTTTGGTGCAAGTGAATTGAAGGATAGTTGTCAAAAACCAGAAGTTGGGATGGAATTCTCTTCTGAAGAGGAGGCTTACAAATTTTACACAAGTTATGCAAATATAATTGGTTTCAGAACAAGAAAAGGGAAGGTGCAACGATTGTCCAACGGAACCATTAGAAAAAGATTCCTTTGCTCGAAACAAGGGTTTCGGTTGGAGAAACAAGCCGACAAGATAACGAAGTACAAGAGGAAAGAAACAAGTAACAGGTTATGATGCCAAGATCCAGTTTTCAATTGATAATGGAAAATGGGTGGTCTCACAATTTTCACAAGAGCACAATCATCACCTTGAAGATCGTTGGCATATCACAAGATCATGCACTCAAATGTCTGAGGCTCGCTTGACTTACACCGGAAATGTTAGGAAAACTAGGAATAATCAAACAACAATTTACCCGGATTATAATTTAGTGGAATACAAGTCCCAATTTTTTTCTCTCTTTATGCAGTAAAATCAGAATTAAACAATAACTAAATATAATGCAAATAATCACACAAATCAACACCAAGATTTTAACGTGAAAAACCCGATATGGAAAAAACCACGGGACTGTAGTCCATCTAAAAACTTCCACTATCAACAAATAATGGGTTCATAATTATTCTTCCTCAGATTTAACTAAGGGATACAACATATATATCATCAAGAACAACTTATTCTCGGATTACAACAAGATTAAAGGAGAATTATTTAAGAAAAACTCACAATACTAACAACTCTGTTTTTTTTATCAAAACGGCCAGCTTCCACACCACCAATCTTTGATCCAACCGTCTAGAATGAAAAGTAACATGTCTAGAAGCTGCTGTCAAAATCTCAGCCCAATCCAACAGTGAATGAGCTGGAAATCAAAGGAAGAACACAGGCTACTCTGCTACCTCTTCTTTTATTTTCTCCCGTTTTTCTCTGCTCTCTTGTTGAAATTTTGCTATTGCGTCTACAATAGCTAAACCATTATTTTAAAGAGAGCCAGCTGTCTCTCTTTTCAATTAATATAGTGGTCCTACCATCATATGGTGCGAGACCACACAACAAATCTCCCCCTCACGCACCATATGAGAAATTCGTCATACTGACGATTAACATGTAAGCTTCAATTTAGGAGGCTCTGACAAGCCTGCTTTCTTTCTGCAAAACTCAAACTTCTTTCTCCGTAGAGGTTTGGTCATCATGTCTAACACATTGTTATCGATATGGATCTTCTCAACAATAAATGATTTCATCTCCATAGCATCTCGAATCCATTGATATTTAACCTCAATGTGCTTTGATCGAGAGTGAAAAGTAGGATGCTTACTGAGATGGATTGTACTTTGATCATCACAGTGCAACACAAAGTTCTCTTTAACTAAGCAAAGTTCATGCAAGAACTTCTTCATCCATAACAACTCTTTGCTCCCTTCAGTAAGAGCAAGATATTCAGCCTCTATAGTGGATAATGTAATATATTTTTGCAACCTTGATTGTCATGAGACTGCTTCCCCTGCAAACTTCATCAAGTATCCTGATGTGGACTTTCTAGAATCAACATCATCTGTGTATCCATCCAACACAGGCTTATTATTATCAAAATATAAGCTGAAACTAGAAGTACCTTTGAGACACTTGAGTATCCATTTCACTACTGACCAGTGTTCTTTATCAGGATTAGAGAGGAACCGACTAACCACACCAACTGCATAAGCTATATCCGGCCTTGTGCAAACCATGACATACATCAAGCTACCAACTGTGGATGCATAAGGAACCTTTTTCATCTCATCTTTTTCTTCATCATTTGAATGAGATTGCTTAAAACTTAGTTTAAAGTGGCTTACAAGTGAAGAACAAACAGGTTTGAAGTTGCTCATGTTGAATCTCTCAAGTATCTTTATGGATAAAAAAATTAATTTATAATAAATCTTCAAAATAGATTAGAAAAAAAAACAAACTCAAACCCGAAGCGCTTGAGCTGAATGCACATTTGAGTTAAACCCATACTATTTAATTTAGTCTTATTTATAACCCTTTAATTTCTTACTAAATAAATTACTAGATAATCTTGTTTATTTATATATAAGATAAAAAAAATTTTAAGTTCCACAACAAATATAGCATCCAAACATTCTTTGAAATCAATTTTCATATACTTTATTATTTTAATAATGTTAAAGAAGTTGTAGAGGAGAATAGTTTTTAACAAAATTTTAAATTTTTTTAAAAAAATTCCAACATGTATTAGGACACTGCTTTTCTTATTATTCTATTCTTGTCTTTCCAAGGAAGGGAGAACATAACCATTACTACTTTCTTTTCTTTTGTGCTACAAAAGGAAAAAAAAAAAAAGAAGAAATATTAGGAACTCATGATAATGTTACAAATTCTTTTACTCCAGGCTCCCTATGAATAATCCCTTGACATTGCCTTATTTCTTTTCAATGAAATAAGCAGGGAAATGTCGAAGCAGATGAATTACGAGATTTGGAAAGAGGATAACGGGCTTTTGAAGAAGGCAAATGAACGTTTGTGACGTCAAATTGAGATTTTAATACCAATGGTAAAATCCCCGCCTCGAAATCAACGGGCCTTTTCTTCCTGCTCTGACGAATCCTCAACGCCGATTCCATAGTACATAAGACGTATGCATGTTCGCATATAGAAAGACTCTAGTGTTCTTCAAATTTCAGATCTATATGGAAATTACTTTATGTAAATACACTGCCAGAATCAGTAGCTTTGGTGGGTCAAAAACCTTGTGAAATTTCTATCTGGTCAAACAGTAAAAGATTTAAGTAGACTGGATGATTCTGATAAGCTTCAATGCATGTTATAAAGTTCCACTTTATTGTGTTCTTCTCTTTTTTGCATTTGGATGTGTGTTGTGTAGGAGATTTTTTTTCATTACATTCTCTCTTTGCTATTTCACTATGTTACTTTCTTGTTGAGGGTGAAGCGGAGGTTGAAGACGGCCGCAGTTGAGCTGCTTGTTGATCGACGAGGAAGATATTAATTAAATTTCTTAGCATAACAACAGGGATCCAGACCATTCTTTGCATTTGCGAACAGGAGACCAAGAAATTGTGATGTAAAATTCTACCAGTCTCGTATCTGTGATCACACAATTATATTACTTTCTATACTCTACAACATCTACCATTGTCCTGAGTGTTTTCTTCTCTTTCTTTCTTTGCTTTTTTTATAAAAAAAAAAACTGAAAATTGAGCAACAGATTCTCTGTTAACTGATGTTACCAAGAAATGGCTAAATGTTACTACAACTTTTCAAGCATAAGAATCTCGTCGACTGTGGTGCATGGACCAGCTTCAAATTGGGGAAACTTGACGTTGAACAGGTCACTGACTTCTCTGCGATGCAGTTGATGATGACTGGTTTGCCAGTCCTTCCACTGGACTGCTAAAAGAAATACGGCTGAAAGGTCTAAAACAAAAAATGGCCATGGGGACTCGAATTTGATGATAAGACCAATAACCCTTCCAAGTTTCTAATTAATCTTGAGTAGCCTGTATTGCCGGTGGAACTTCTTTTTTGTTTTCCAAAGGTGCCCTTTCTCTTCCAATCTTTTAGATAGTGACTTTTTCAAATCTTCAGACGTCAGGTGTGAAACAGAGAGTTCATTGGGATTGGATAGATTCCAATACCAGAGAAAAGAAACCAAAGTTTCGTGATTCTTTCAGGAAATGAAATTAGGTAGGAACATTTTCGTGCATGTCTTATGAATTAGGTAGGAAATGAGACTTATGATATATGATCATACACAATGGCTCAAAAGGATTTACGATACTAACTAGTGCGGAGTTGAAGCTTGGTTGTTAATGGAGTTGTGCTCTTTTTAGTAGTCACGGTGTAGTTGTCCTGCGCCACATTGTGAGCTGGGTTATATTTTTTATGACATAAAAAAAGAAGAAGATAATATTGCTTTTCAAAGAGCAAGAAAAATTTAAGACCCGGGTAATTAAAGAAAAATGAAATTAAAACAAAATTTTAATTTTATAATTTATTTCAAATAGACACGTACTACCACTTAACATCCTCCGAAAAAAGATCAACAAAAAAGTCCATGGTGAGTGTCTTCAACCCCTGCCACACACCAGACTATTGTTATGGTGCCTTCAGCTGAGTTTGCAAGGATTTGTAAAGATCTTTCTAGCATTGGTGATACAGGTAAAGTTCTCTCATTACATCCATGGGATCCCTTGCTTTAAGCTGTGAATGATGAAATTGTAATGATTTTGGTATGTGAATGTAGTTGTGATCTCTGTGACAAAGGTGGGTGTTCAAGTTTTTCACAAGAGGTGATATTGGAACTGCAAATATTGTCCTCAAGCAAAATACCACGGCTGATAAGGAATGTTATCAGTACAAATATCATCCAGTTTTTTTGGTATGCATCACAACGATATCATTTCACAGGTTTGCTTCTATCTGGGTTTTGATTTTACAGTCGGAAGATGCCACTGCCATTGAGATGAATGGGTCGGTATCATTGACATTTGCACTAAGGTACATGAATTCCTTCACCCCCATTGTCAAACACAGTTAAAATCTTCTCGTCTTTAGACCTCCCTGTTGTGGTTGAGTTGAAGTTTGCTGAAATTGGCTCCACAGATAGAAGAGGACGAGCTAAACCTGAAGTTTATGTTATTTATTTCCTTGTTCACTGAAATCACCTTCTAAGTTTAGAAATTGTCTTCAGGATGTTTATCATTTCCATCAATGGCGTTGTTGGATACATATCATTTCCATCTATGGTTGTAAGGAAGAGAATGGAAAAGGATGTAAAGTGTAATTTTTTAAAATTGTAAAAGTGAAAACAAGATAAAAAATTATTAGATTTTATGCCATTATTTATTTTAAATAAAATAAATAGTGCTAAATATAAAATAAAATTTTAAAAAAATTTAAATTACAATTTTAAGAAATTAGATGGTTTGGTGCAAAAAACAAGACAAAAAAAAAGTTACAGATACCAATAAAGTGTCCCTAAGGCATAGAGAAGTTACCGAAAAGATTCCAATTTCACCTTAAAAGTCAATGTTTGGACATCAAGCAATACTAAGTGTGCTACTCTTAGTGTACAAGCACCACCCACACATTATTATGCGCAATGCATGTCTTAATAATTTTTTTTAATATTTATATTTATTTTTAATAAAAAAATCACCCCTTAATTAACTTGATAATAACTAAAACATCTGAGTTAAAAGACAAAAAAATCTTCATTAGCCAGATAAATAAATTAGATTTTCAAGGGTATTTTAATTATTTTATTATGCTTTGGTTAGTGTAATGGTTTTTGTAATGAAGGCATAATAGTAATTTTTAAGGCTGTTCAAAGAAACTGATTAACTGAAAAAATCAAAGAAAAATTAATCGAAAA